ATACATAAGTTAAAAAAAAGGAGGGGCTGGCAAGACGGTTCAGTAAAGAGCACTGGCTGCTCTTGCAAAGGCCCCAGGTTCTGCTCCCAGCTCCCACATGATGGCTAACCATCCAGTTCCAGGGGCTCCGATGCCCTCTTCTGGCCTCTTGGGGCACTGCACACATATGGTGTATCTGCATACATGCAGGCAAAACACTCATAACACACAAAATAAAAATAAATTTTTTAAAATAGAGTTTTGCTAGCTGGGCTTGGTGGCGCACACCTTTAATCCCAGCACTCGGGAGGCAGAGGCAGACGAATCTCTGTGAGTTCAAGGCCAGCCTGGTCTACATAGTGAGTTCCAGGACAGCTGTGGCTACAGGGGGACCCTGTCTCAAAAAGACCAAAAAAAATAAAAAATAAAAATAATTTTTTTTTAAAAAAGAGTTTTGTTGCTGTTGTTATTCTGGTATATTTTGGGGCACAACCACTAGGGACGAGAAAATGGAAAAAAGAAACAATAGCCACAAATTTTCGAAGGCTGTAAAGAAGTTAACTTAGTCAAAGATGACCAAATTCTAAGCCAATAAGGCTGAAAATGAAGACAAACTCAATTTTTGCTGAAGAATCTGCAAAAGGCTCAGGAACAGCCAGAATAGATGAGGGGAAACTGAAATAAGAATCAGGTGAAAGTTGAACAGTAGAACCCCAGATCTCCTCCAAATTGCTAAAGGGGCCCTTATCTCAGGGTAGCAGCTCACTGGAGATACAAGGTCTCAAGAGAGTAAAACACGCATGGTGAAAGATGCAAGTATCCCAGCAGAGAGACAAATTACATGACTGCATATTAAAATGATCCACAATTCATTACCCAGCAGCCCTTTTTTCTTGACACTGACAAGTTGGCCCTGATCCTCCAAGCAGAAGACTGAAATACTCTGTGGAACTCTGACCAGGCCAAAACAAAAGACACAAATAACAAAGAGAAGCTCAAACAGTCCAGCCAGATCAATAGTTTTCCATCTTAGCCACACACTGTAATCAGCAGGGGAGCTTTAAAAATACTGCTGCAGGCCTGCAATATGCAGGCCTCCTGGGGACAGGAGTTCAATCCCTGGATCTCACATACAGAAAAAGAACTGATTCCACTAAGTTGTCCTCTGACCTCCACACGTATACCTTGGCATCCATATATATGTACACATATACACAATAATAAAATTTTTAATTAAAAATTAAGATGCTAATCTTTTAATATAGAAATCAGAATAGCAGATGCCACTGAGAAAGGAATAGGAAGACAGAATAGAGGCACACAAAAGAATTTCCACAGTGCTCTGGATCTGTGTCAGTTAGATGGTGGAAATCATCAAGCCATATATTTAAGTAGTGCATTTTATTATATACAACAAAGTCAACAGTGTTTAGAAGTACTACTACGTGGGTCCTATCCCTAAACATACTGATGTATTTAGCAGAGCAGGAGCAAGGGATGTTAAAGCTCTCTATGAGATTCTAATACAGCCTGAGACTAGATTATGAAGGCAAACCTGGAAGTGAGTAAATCCTGTTTATAAGCTCAGGGCTTCTAATTAGCTGCCACTTGTCCACTCTTAACCATGAACAGACAACAAAGGATAGCCAGTCAGACCAGAGAAGTGCCTCTTCCAAACAAGCTATATCAAACCGAAAACTAACTTGTAGGAAGCAAGTAGGCAAAGAAAAGAAAACTAAATGGGGACTGGAGAGATGGCTCAGTGGTTAAGAACACTGGCTGCTCTTGCAGAGGACCCAGGTTCAGTTTCCAGCACTCACACAGCAGCTGACAACTGCCTGTAACTCCAGTTCCAGGAGCTCCAATGCCCTCTTCTGATCTCCAAGAGCACTGCACAACAAGGGTACACTTACATATATGCAGGCAATATATATAAAATAAAAATAATAAAATATTTAACAACAAAAAAAGCTAAATGAAACTATCTTTAACATTCTCAGATAGACAAAAGAAGACAGCGCATCATGAAACAAGAAAAGAGATGGATGAATAAGTGACTGAGGTGAAGAGAAGAAGTGGAACCTACCAGCTGACAGAAGGGAATATGGTCAAGAACAATTTGTCTGAATCACTCACCGAACTCGAGACAGGACCTGAGATTTTCCAGGTCACTGGTGGAAAGATATGGGGCTAGAGGTGAGAGATTTAATCTGTGTAAAGGTACAGTTAGACTCTCTAGGTTCCCTTTTCCACCACTACTGCTAGCCTGTCATAATTTATTCCTGGAAACACTGGCCTGGAGAAGACTCCAGCCTCAAGAAGGGTAGAGTGAAGCTCAAAGCTGAAAGTCAAGGGATTAAGCAGAAGTGCTTTTAGCAAGCAGCAGCCACCCACTGCTACTTCCTCTGCCCAGCCTTCAGAACACTGGCAGCCAGATGTGTGTAGCAGTGCCCCTTGTCCACAGGAGATACATTCCAAGACCCCTAGTGGAGAGCTGAAACTTCCCACAGTCCCTTTCCCACCTTAACAGTGTGGCTGTAATGTGCAGCCTGAAGTGCTACTCAAAACCAACACAAACTTGTTTCCTGCTTCAGAACCTTTCAGACTGAAGATTGTTTTTTTTTAATATTTATTTATTATTTTTATTGCATGTGTATGCGTATATTGCCTGCATGTAGGTAAGAGCACCCGTGTCGTGCAATGTCCACAGAAGACAGAAGAGGTTGTCGGATCCCCTGGAACTGGAGTTACAGACAGTTGTTAGCTGCCATGTGGGTGCTGGGATTTGAACCCAGGTCTTCTGCAAGAACGGCCAGTGTTCTTAACCGCTGAACCATCTCTCCAGCCCCAAGACTCTTCTTAGTGGATCTTAGGAACCTCATTATATGAGTTTTGTTCTTTCCCTATTGAGTCAAGAACATTCAATTTTTCACTTCAAAGAAGTATTTTACAGCTTCACTTTTGGTACATCCAAGTCACCAGCATCACTACTCTTGCACTTGAGGCCACTATTAAATAAGGGTTATGTGAACACAAACACTGCTATACCAAGACAGCTGATCTGCCAACCCAAAGGGTTACTGAAGACTAGCAAGTGTGTACAGTCTGAATATGCTGACAAATGAGATGCACTCCCATTTGGATAGCATTCAGCTGTCACTACTCAATATGACATACAACTTAAAGTTCACAAATTAAGTGAGCTAATGTGTATAAAGTGCTCAGCATGGTGCCTGGTTGTGCATACTTAAATAAGTTCAATTTAAAAAAAAAAAAAAAAAACCTTAAAACTTGAAAGTCTTTTTTTACTAAATTTTCCATATAATTTTTTTTTCTTTCTTTTTTTTTTTTTTTTTTTTTTTTTGGTTTTTTTGAGACAGGGTCTCCCTGTAGCCCCAGCTGGCCTGGAACTCACTATGCAGACCAGGCTGGCCTGGAACTCACAGAGATCTGCCTGCCTCTGCCTCCTGAGTGCTGGGATAAAAGGCATGTGCCACCATGCCTGGCTTCCATATAATATTTTCAGACCACAGGTTATTGAAGCCTTGAAAAGTGACACAGGTACACATGCCAAAACCCTCGGTTCTACAGTCAGTACTGAAAAAAAAAAAAAAAAAAACTAAAAACCAGAAGAAAAATAAATATATAAGTAACAATTAAGCATAATGAATACAAATAACAGGCACTTTGCAAAAGGTGATATACAAATGGCCAATAAAATATTTTCAACCTTAATCACCAGGAAAATATAAAGTCACATACTGACAAAGTACTGTACCTCCTCCACCCAAACCACAACTTTTTAAGATGACAAATGAGCATTAATAAGGACTCTGGTACCTGGAATTTCCTTCTCTGCTAATGGACACAACTGCTTCGAGAAAATGGTCAACAGTACCTTAAGTTGTAATGGATACCTCAAAATCCAGTAATCTCAGAATCGGTGGTAATAGTCCCCAAACCAGGGAGACTGAGGCAGGGAGCAGGTATTTGTAGCCTGAACTACATAGCAAGACTGACTCAGAAACAAAACAAACCAACAAAAAAGACAGTAAGTAATTCAACTCAGAGGTATGTATTTCAATCTAGCAATACCCAATTTCTTGGTCTATGTTAGTTCATTTGGTAAGAATTTGTTACCTGCACACTGATTTGTAAACTTTCTCTGTGGTTATACTTCAATAAGTTTTCTAAGATTTCCTTGACACAAGTCAAGGAAGGCTAACATTTCTAAAAACAGAAAGCAAACTTCTGGTACCACGACGAAATTTGACTGATAAAACTGAAAAACAAAAAGAAAGCCACTTAACGCATCGCCCAGAGCAAAGATAAAAACTACCAACAGATCACTTTTCTCTAACTTCAGGACGCCCTGAAATTCATTCTTTCGGCGAAGAAAGGAGTTTATTATTCTCCTTTGTAACCCAGAGAAGGTGTGTCTGCATAAAAATCGCTGCCGCTCTTCAAAATCACCTGTAACAGTCAAGAGATAGGAGAGAGGAACCCTTCCAAAAGTTCGGTGTAACTCGGGTGAAAGGACGCCTCTGCAAGGATCTTAAGTCAAAGCAACCAAAGCCACTCCAAAGCAGACAGCAACACCACAAGCCCACCCACCGGAAAGCCTGCGGTGCATTTGAGGCTAGCCCGCTAGTCCTAAAGTGACTCAGTGTCCCCGCTGGGACTCACCTAGCACACCTGGCGGGCCCATCACCTGCCCGGGGCCACGGCCACGCGCAACACAGAGACGCCAACTTTTCAAGGACCGGGTGCGGCCAGGGTCCCCCGGAGGGGGACGACGGCTGGCGGAAGGTCTGTGAGAAAGCGGCCCTCCACTCCTCCCGGGAACTCCACCGCAGGCCGGGCCGGCGCGTCCGTGCCCCGCGCCCACGGGCCAGGCGAGCGCAGGGACTTAGGCCCCGGTGGGGCTCACACCGCAAGTTCGGCGGCCGCCCCGACGCGTCCCCGGCCGCCGGTCCCCGGCCCCCCTGCCCCGCAGTGCGGCCTGGCGCGGCGCCCCTCACCTTGGAAACGTGGGGTGGACTTCGCCGTCAACATCAACTTCCCATCCAGCCAGCGGCCCCGCCGCCGCGTCGTCCGCGTCCCCTCCCCGCGCGCTCGGGAGCTCGAGGCCGCACCGCGACCCTCGCCCGGCCCCTTGGCGGAAGCGCCGGCACCTCAGGCAAAGCCCGCGCAGCCCCTCGCCGGCAAGCGGGCCAGCTCCTCCCGGCTCCGGCCGGGCCGCGTCAGGAAAGCCCAGGGCGCAGGCGCAGCGAGGGCCTTAAAGAGCCGGGCCGGCCTCTACCGCATAGTGGGTTCGTGCAGGTTAGGGCCCCGGCCGGGTTGGCGGAGGAAAAGCAGAAGCCGACGGGATTGGAGCAGCGGAGCGGAGGCGGGGAGCTCCCTCACAGTCCTCCGCCCCTTCTTCAAGCGCCCGGCCCGGGCCTTGCAAACTGCTGACTTCCCAGTCGCTAGAACCGCCCCTACCGCGTTAAAGCTGCAGAAGACACACCCCCTCAGGGTCCCTCAGAGACCCCGCGCCCCGGCGCTGTCACGCCGCCTACGCGCCGGGCACCAAGGTCTGGGGCACGCGGGGCGGACGCACAGCCTCCCAAATTCCCTCAAGAGGTGGCCTAAGGTCACTGACAAAATCATGAGTCAACCTGAGACTGGCACTTGTGATGGTTGGACAGTCGTCTGGACGCCTGACGTTTATGTAGAGTCCGACAGAGGGCAGAACATAGGCATGGCATATGTGAGGTCCGGCTGGGCAACCATCCAACGTCAACGAAAAATTCTTAGAAGGAAAGTACTTAGTTCAGCATAAAAACAACCTATTCGTTCCGGTCCTGTCTCAGGAAGAGCAGGCAAGAAAATAATAAAAGCAATGTAATGTTTGTTATGCTTTTAAAAATAACCAAAATGATAGCAATTATAGAAAAAAAAAACTCGATTGTCTACTAATTCAGACACCCCTGGTTTTCGAATTTAAACTTGTAAGACCTGTGCTGAAGAGGTTCACTGTCACACGCGCTTCAGGAAAAGAGTATTTTTTAACAAGATTAGGAAATAACAAGAAATAGGAAGTAAAACCATGTCCTCACCCAACTAAAACCTTTGAAAATTTGAAAGTGGTCAGAGGCAATCTTTCACATAGTGTTAGGTCATGCCATTATTTTAAACCAATTTCAATTAACAATTTCATTATAACAATGCCTCTTGCATAAGAAAATGAAACATTTTTCACAATATACCTCTTCTATCTCTTAGCAAATGCTGTTGATCTTTATCTACTAGTTTCCTTGAATCTGCCCTATCTCCAGCACCACCCCAGTCAGAACTACCCTCACAAGGTAGAGTTTAAGGATCACTAAAACTTAAATCCTCTAATTACCTCTTCCTACTCTTCTCTAAATCTTTGCACAACAGGCAGAGTGTTGGTTCAAAATACTGTACAATGTGACCTACTCACTGTCCAGCAATCCATTCTCTTGGACAAAACCCTCTAACAAGAAACGCAAGGTCAGGCACCTTGCCACCTCCCCATCTCTCCTCTCTGCTCAGACCACAATGCATCCTGCTCCTTCTCCCTGCCCTTTTTCCCTCTTGTTTGCCAGTTTCCTCCCCACAAGAGTTTCCTCAAACCTGGGAAGTTCTTCTAACCCTCATCTTCCAACTTAGACCTTGGTCTCCAGGTCTGAGAAGCACCTTCTGACCTTCCTCCTACAATCATCCTCCTATCATATTCCAGGAAACTGATTGTATGACTCCTGATTCTCCCGCTAGACAACTGGCTCCAGAGGCCAGGAACTTGGTTTTGCTTGACTCCAGGTCATATTTTCATATTTGTTCAATACATGTTTGCTCAGTGAATGAGAACCATAGGTGCTAGAACTTGAACTAGATATGGCTTAAAGGTTACTATCATCACACATAAAATGTCAAACTTTGACATTTGGAATCAGAATCTAAAAAGAACTCTTGTTATTATAAAGTTGATTTTATATTGTTTTACCTGGACTTTCACAAGATTCTTTGGGTAACCTTTAAACCAGAGTACTCAAAGTACCTTGAATCCTGCCCCATTAAGAAAGATGGCTGTGGACCCACATGAAACTAATAACACAGGTGGCGTCAAGCATGCAAAGCTAGGTGATTAGGAGTGATGCATTTTCAGGGTTGGTAAGAAGATGATTTTACTGCATGCTGAAAAGGTTTAAAATAGTACTTTTTCCATCTTAAAACATGAATGAATTACCAACTTGAAAATAAATGATACCAGGATATATATTATATGGTTCTATTTATTTGAAATTTCAGAAAAGACAGACATAATTGTAGTGAAAACAATCAGAGCAGGGCTGAAGATCCAGCTCGTTGTGCTTAGCAGGTATAACACCTTGGGTTCAGTCCTCAGCGGGCTTGTGTGAGCGCGCACACACACACACACACACACACACACACACACACACACGAAACTGAGAAACCATAGTTTGTTTTATACTTCTCTGTAGCCTCAGGACTTTCCATAGTTCAGTGTCTTTTGAATAAATGATGAAAAACAAGCCTGGTATTGGCTTCCTGGCTATAAGATGTTATATATTTATACCTATATAAAACATTTGCATATTACCGATTTTCTGAGAACTAACTTCCATGTTAATGTAAATGCCTATACTGTAATTTAAATTTTCAAGTTTATATCTTTAAATACATTTATATGGGAATATATAATTTATGCCAACTTAACGCTGCTGTATCAAGTAATGAGATACACGATCTCAAGACAATATCTCTGGCTTACATCTATTTAATTTGCTCCAAGCACCTCAGTTTATTTGGTGAAAGAGTTTGCACTTTAATGTCTCACTTAAGTAGCTAATTCTAACCAGAGAAAGGGCTAATTCTAATTCTCATGAGCGTTCAAGCACTTGCGTAAGTGATACCCCATTGTGTGACTTCCACACCAACACCACCTTTGCTCTGGCCCCTGCCACTCTGCTGCTCACACTCTAGATCCTCACATGGAGGAGGCAGAGGAAGCATGGCACAGTGGGAGGCGGTACCCTCTTCAGAGGCAGTTTTATTTACAGTCAGCTCAATTAGCAATTCAAAGTGTTCTGTTACCTTAGTATGGATTCAGGTCACTGTCTGGGAGGGAAACCCCTCTAAACCCACCAATGGTTAAGTCAGAAAATCATGCCCCTAACTGCCAAAAATGTTTAAGCCAGCCACACTAGCCCCATTGCTCAGCCAAAGAAAACAAGGGAGGAATTCCCCTGAGAGGCCAAACCAACTCCAGATACAGAGGCAGAACTCACCGGCAAGGTCAAATCCACAGTGAACACCACCACCTTCACCCTTACCAGTTGGGACTGGGGCTTCCTTAGAAAACCAGGGCACTCATTTATATTCTGGGATTACACTAATTCTGGGGGCCGGGGAAACCACTAGGCACATGTGACTACTTACATCTAAACAGCTCCAGTTTCTCAGTCACACTAACACATTCCAAGTGCAGTGAGAGCCATTGTCCTTGACATCACAGATACAGAACATTTCCATCTATCAGAAGTCATATTGGCCATACTATTTCAGAGAGAACTCCACTGAGAGTCCCAGCCAATGGTTAAAATCTTTTGCTTTGGAAAAATGGAGGCTCATAATGAAACACGACAGCATACCTAATTAGCCTCTTTACCACAGTGAGAATCTCAAAGACACTCAAGCATGAAAGCTGTGGCCTCTCCACCTATTGGCATTCTAAAAACGAATTCAGCCTCACCACTTCACCTTTGCCACATCCACTGATTGCAAGACACTAGCATCATCTTAGGGAAGGACATTGTTGGGAGGTACACACTCCTGTTACCAACTCTTGGCCCTTGTGCAAAGGTAGAGCATAGACCTGCTATGATTGTGAAGAGCTGGTGGCTCCAGAGTTCAGACATTATTTCTACTACTTTTTACTTCTTTAACGTTTTACATGTGCCTGTCTGTGCTCTATGTGTGCATTGTATATGTGTGATTGCATGTTGTGCCATGTTTATGTGTTGTTGCTTATGATCATGTGTGTGGGTACATAGCATGCATGCATGTAGAGGCCTAAGGCCTCAGGAGTCTTCCTCAATCACTCGCCACTTTATTCATTGAGGCAGAGTCTCTTCGTTGATCCCAGAGCTTTCTGATGTTGCTAGCTAGGCAACTTGCTTCCTGGATCCCCCATCTCTGCTCTCTGATCCCTGGAATCACAGGCAGGCTGCCACACTGACCCAACATTTACTGTGGTTCTGGGGATATGAACTCCAGTCCCGATGCTTGTGCAGCAAGATCTCTACCTGCTAAACTATCATCCTAGCCCCATATTATTTCTCTCTTTTAAATCCAGCAAACCAAACATCAGCTTTTGGAATTACACCCCCAAAATGGAGGGAACAGCAGTAGTGTGCCAGTTTCTATAGTACCTGATAAATTAAGTATGTTTATTTCTTGGCTTCCTTAACTGTTTTAAAGCAAGATAAAATTGAATGCAACTAGAGTTAGTAATTCCACTTGAACTATCCAATTTTCTGAGCACTAGTAGCTTCCACATCCTATAAAACAAATGACTAGACTATAAAATTTCAAGTGTACTTGGCAAAAGTGTGTTTAACCTCTTCATAGCCCAATCTTCTGATCCATAAACCAGAGATAATAATATCTACTTAAGCATTGAACTGATAATTAAATGGAACATATAGGCAAGGCAGATAAACACTCGGTAAATGGTAGTTATTGCAATTACTATTTTCCAAAGTCACAAAGCACCAGTACAAAAATTAAAAAGACTCTGACTTAGAAAATCTTAACCCCACCTAATTGCTAATTGTTTTGAACTTTAATCTTGTAAGGTTCTCATTTCTTCATCATCCAAGCGAAAGACGGAGTCCAGTAGGGGAGATGACTCAATGAGTAAAAGCGCTAGCCATACAAGCCTGAAAACCTGAGTTCAGTCCCTGGAACCCATATAAAAAGTCAGATACAACACTACTGAGAAAAAAAAACTAAACTAAACGAAAAGCACTGAAAGGCCACACAACTGTCAACATTGCCACCAACTAGAATTTGTGAACAATTATGATAACTATTTTCCTTGATTAATCTTTTTCTCCATAGAAGAAATTAGAAACCTATACAGACAAACTAGGCCTCTGTTCATTAAATAAATAAATAAATAAATAAATAAATAAATAAATAAATAAATAAATACCAGAAGTCAAAAACAGAAGGGAGAGAAGCTGT